GTACCACGTCTGATATCATCACTGAAATAGTTATACAATGTAAGACTATGATTCATGAGGAGCTCTGGGGGGAAGCCTCTATTGCTCTAGTTTTGAAACAAAAGAACCTCTCATTCTGAATGTTGAGCTGAGCAACAGGTGTATATATATCTGACAGAATGGGGGGAAAATAAGGAATCCAGCAAATATACATCGGACTCTTACATCTCCCAGGTCTATCATATCTTGCAAACTTGAAGGTTTTTTTCCTCCCCAAAATATATCCTTTGTCTGCACTGATGTATAAATATATTACTGCTGTAACTTATGTAACAGGTACTGAAACGAACAGAAAATTCCAGTGCAAACTTTTCTTTTTATGTGAAAACTATTTTGTACTTCTCTTCCAAAATGCCTGCCAATTCAGCAATGAATTGATACCAGCTATGCTTGCTTTGGGACCTTCATAGGTGTCAAAACTAGTGTATTAATCCATTGTGCCATATTCTATGCAACTATTAAGAATTAATGGTGCAATTGTTTCTTCACATACTCATTTTATACATATTAAAGTTTTCCTTGTCCTAGCGCTTGAGAAATATTGTAGAATCTTTATGCATCTTCGATTTATACCCCAGGGCTTCACAATTTGTCCAGTTTTTGCTTGACTTTTAAAACTTATAAAAGAGCTACAAGCTTAAAGAAAATTAAAGGAAAGGAAGAAAGCAGATTTAACACGTGGGATTTTTAATTGGTAGGTACAGGATAACTGCATATTTTAAAACGTAATAGATTTTAGTGCAATAACCAGAAACTTGGCTGTGTCTTTTTAAACAGTAGAAAAACAGATCAGATGGTTCAGTGACTAACATATTTACTAGAGGATACACATAATTTCAGAATTGCCCTAGAAATGCACAGTGGTGACAGTGACGTTGTAAAAATATCTCTTAATTAGTCAAATGTGTGCTCCTGCAACTATGACTTCTGGATGGATCCGGGTGTCTTCTATGACTTTGATCTACTCATCTGTTTAAGTACACAACAACCATATGTTGAGATTGCTTTCATAATGCATGTTTCTAAATTTGCTTTAAAGGGTATGTCTTCACTGTAGAGTTAGCCTAGGCTCTTATCTGGCTATTTCTGTTAACCCCTCTCCGTTCCACATGCAAAATACCATTGACATGAGTTTATTGGTGCTTTCTATTAAGGCTTGCTGGCTTGTTTGGGACAGTAGACTAAAGCATGTGTGCTGCTTTCACGCAGGCTGGTAACCCATCCAGTTTGCAGTGAGAACATGTGCTAACGCATATGTGTGCTGATAGTCGTCCAGTACCTTCTCCCAAATTCCCCTGTGTGCCCAGACAGCAAATTCTCCCACAACTCACTGGGAAAGAATCACAGAGCGATTCAGCTGGCAGCAGCACAATGAACCATCGGATATGCCCCCAAAAGTCCTAGTGACACACATGGGTGTGTACAGCAGCAGCGAGGACACAGTAACTTGCATATGGCTTTGTAGTGTGGCTGCTCATGCCCAGACTCTGTTTATTGTGGTGCTGCTGCAGTGTAGGCATACCCAAAATGTTACTACTTTTTAAATTAATGTTGCTGACTAATAAAGTTGACTCTGGACGGAAGTGTGTATGTATTCCTTTAAACTCACAAAAGTATGGTATAGAAGTTAGAGAAATTTTCACAGCTCATTGGTTTAATCTCCCAGCCAATACAAGGTTGTTGCCTCTAGAACATCTTACAGTCTTTGTCTAGTTTCTTATAAACAATGGGGCATCTCACTTTGAGGACACTTTTCCTGATGTTTAAATTGTCTGTTACTTAGTTTCATTGTATATGGTATAGTCTATCTTTGTGTGTTGTATCTCTCCCTCCTCCCTTGGTATTGCTAAACCATATGCATTTGGCACTACTTAATCTTTCCTCATGAGTCCATTCCTCCAACCCACTCCTTTTTGTTCCTCTTTTCTAGATTCCCTATTATGTCTCGATCTTTATGCTAATGATAGGTGCGTGGAGCTAACCTGAGTATTCCAATTGTGCCTGTCCTATATTGAGCATATTATCTATGTTTTTATGGCTTCTTCCTAATGATTATTGGCTATGGAGCCCAGAATTATTGTTGTAACCCTATCCCATTGCAAATTCATGTCTGATTTGCTGTTAAATCTCATTTCTAGGTCTCTTTCAGCACCAGTGCTTTCCAGGTTTTCTTTTCCACATGCCTGTTTTAGATTTTTTCTTTTTCCTCTCGGATGTCTGGGTTTGTATTTTTTCCAAAATGAATCTCACTTTGATACATTTTGCTCTTCTTTGTGATCTCATTAGAGCATTTAAAATTACATTTCTGTCCCCAACACTCTGTGTGTGTGTGTGTGTGTGTGTGTGTGTGTGTGTGTGTGTGCGAGTGCGACTTCTTTCAGTGTCATTTCTAATTGTCATTTAATGTGCTTCTTATTCCCTCTTCCCCTCGATCCTTGTAGTTCACCAACTCTGCCACCACAAAGATTGTTACTTTGCCATTTATTAACTTTAGTTCATGGCCCTTCAGCCATTTTTCAAGTCCCATGATAGTATTTATTTAAGCCAATTTGACTTTTGAGGCAGATGTTGTGATATGGTATACAAGTAGTTTACTAAAATCCATGCACAGTGGCCAGACCCTTGGCTATGGCTGAGGAATGCGCAGCTCATACTAGTATATGAACACGTGGCTTTGAAATTCTCCTGATCCTGGTATGGATATACACCAGAGTGGTCCCCCTGTTAATTTGGACAAGCCTGAAGTTGGCTGTAAATTATGCAGGCTGCTGATGCCCTCAAGGAGCCAGTATAGCAGATGGGGGATCAGTGGGGCATAAGGAAGCCCTGGCCATGTCCTCTTTTCTTATCCATAGTCTCAATGTGGGCAGCACTGGGGAGGGGGTGGCAGAGGAGATTCTAAACCAGGGGTAGGCAACCTATGGCACGCGTGCCAAATGCGGCACCCAAGCTGATTTTCAGTGGCACTCTCACTGCCCGGGTCCTGGCCACCGGTCCGGGGGGCTTTGCATTTTAATTTAATTTTAAATGAAGCTTCTTAAGCATTTTAAAAACCTTATTTACTTTACATATAACAATAGTTTAATTATATATTATAGACTTATAGAAAGAGACCTTCTAAAAACATTAAAATGTATTACTGGCACCCTGTTCTAAACCACCAGAGGATCACCTTACACTGTCTAGCAGGCCATTTTGTGCTGGAGTCAAACCAGTAAGTTTCCAGACAGTTTTCTACTCATTTCAGTGTGCTGTTAATAATCTGTTGTAGGCAAAATCACAATTTGAAGAAACTTGCTTCAGTGCTTTCTGTCTGTGTCACTGATGATGTATGGGAAAACAAACTCAAAATACCATATTTTCCAAAAGAAAAGTGGAGGAAAGGTTCTTGCTCTCCTCAGGCTATATAAACACTCATATATGAGACATACTGAACAGAAATTTTCCTCTTGGTTTTGTTGACACCAAGAAAAAGAAAACCATGAATCAGATATAAAAAAAGAAAAAGAGGGGAATGAATTAACTCACTTAAAAATATTGCTACTAAATAGGTTTCTTAACGCATTGATGATGCTGTAGATTTTGATTCCTAGTGACAGCCTAAAGCTGCTTCTTAACAATTATTGCAAAGATCCTATAATTTATATAAAATATGGCAGCTCTCTACCCTCTGACAGAAAGGTCTAGGATTGTTGGCATTTTAGTGGAAAGAGAATTTGGAATTTATCCTTATACCATGTATCTTCTACAAATGCCTGAGTGTGTACATGCAGGTAATTTCAGCCTTGAGGAAATGATCTGTTGGTTTGCCTTGGGTCTAGGGTTATAATGGCATCCTTTCTTAAGCTGCCATAATTATCCTTCATAGAGTGTAAAATTGCATCAGTTCTAGCTGTATTTTCATTTGGATGATTGTCTAAATAAACACTGTTTCGTTTAAAAAAAGAAAAATTAATGAGGGTACAGTCCTTCTCCAAGCATCCCAAGTTTACATCCTAAATTTGTTATGGACTGTACTGTTCAGATGCACAGAATCCTGCATAAAGGATCAAATATTTGAATGACTACCCACATAATTTCTACATGACTTTGAGGCCAATTGACGAACTGCACATGAAGAAAACAGCTGAATGAAGAGGGAACTAATATCAAGGTGGTATGGAGCAGTTTACTATGATGAAAGGGATGATGCAGATAGAGCAGTTAGGAGGAAGGTAGAGGAGAGCATAGAGAACACAAGGGGAAATAAGAAACTAAAGGCAGAAATGTAAGTAGGGGTGGTGCTGGTCAGACCTCTGAAGATAAAGATGTAGAATTGGATACAGAAGAAAGCTAGTAATGGGATTAAGAGACAAGTGGCAAGACAAGATCTTTAGCTACTACACCTCTACCTCGATATAACGCTGTCCTAGGGAGCCAAAAAATCTTACCGCGTTATATGTGAAACCGCGTTATATCGAACTTGCTTTGATCCGCTGGAGTACGCAGCCCTGCGCCCCCGCTCCCCCGGAGCACTGCTTTACCGCGTTATATCAGTATTCGTGTTATATCGGGTCGCGTTATATCGGGGTAGAGGTGTACTTTTAATACTAGCGCTTATCTTTAGCTTCATATATGAGGTAGTTGCTCCCAAAATATTTCACTTCACAATTGTTGATGGGTCATTTGGTGCTGGATTTCCTTGTTTCCAGCTGCTACATTGTATTCGATAGCTAAAATACAATAAATATTTCAGTCATTCTAATTTTCACTGTAAGTAATTGTCTCATTGTTAAGATGTGGTCCCTGCTATAAAAATATTTGAGACTTCTTCTTACAAGCAAGCTAAAATATCCTAGTCTAATTTTATATGAAGATATTGAACACCCCATAATAGCACCAATTTTTGGTAAAAACTTGTGCTGAAGTACGTTTGGGAGCATGAGTTGTTTTCTGAGAAGGGTGTGTGTGTTTTGTTTCAGATCAAGGACATTCTTTCAAAAGTAAAAAATACCCATGTGGGGAAACCACTGCTAACAACACCTTTGAATCCTGATCAGACGGTAAAACCCCTCTCCATTTTACTTTTCTTATTGCAAAATTAATGCTGGTGACCTTATTTTCTGGCTTTTCATACTTGTTTTGCAGTTTCTGTTTTAAGTAGTGTGATAGTGAATGTTCAATGTTAAATTTGATTTAATGGTATAATACCTTTATGACATCCTGTTCAAATACTTCATACACTAGTTTGTTTATAGATCAATTTTGTTACATGAATTTATATAAAAAGTTGTAGAAGATATTCACTTACATTGTAGCAGTTGGTCACAGCCTAATTTTTGTTAAGTGGTTTTTCATGATGGTCAACTGTTGACAGACATTTTTGTTGGTGAGGCAGGTTAGCTTGTGTATTTTAATGGAATCAAATATTTGTCCTATTTATTGCAATGCCGTAGGAAAGATTGGAAAAAATCAATGATGCCCTCTGCAGTGAATATGAATGTCGTCGTCGGATGTTAATGAAGCGGCTTGATGTGACCGTACAATCCTTTGGATGGTCTGATAGAGCAAAGGTAAACATGCTTTATTGTTTGCTTCCTGTAGGTGGTGGTAGTTTGTTACAATTCTCCAAGCTGTCTTACTGAAGATCTCATTACAACTAACTTTTCTGAGCACTACTTGTAACATACATTCCCTGCATGTTGTGGAGAGAGAAAGGTTTGACTAAACAGTCAAATCCACCAATCCTTGTAATCCACATAAATTCTAGTGTTGTTCTTCACTTGAAGATGTCAGTCTCCCTTTATTTTTGTTTTTCCCTTGTGGTATTGTAGGAAAAAACTTCAAAGTGTTCCTCATACAGAGAGACACACTCATCCACCCCTCAAGGAGAGCTACAGAATCCTTGGGATTGGTCTAAAGAACCTACTAACTGAATGCTGCCAGTTAATGAACCCCAAGCTTTTGAACCAAGCACAGGGGGGGGGGGGGAGATAGCTCAGTGGTTTGAGCATTGGCCTGCTAAACCCAGGGTTGTGAGTTCAGTCCTTGAGGGGGCCATTCAGGGATCTGGGGCAAAAATCTGTCTGGGGATTGGTCCTGCTTTGAGCAGGGGGTTGGACTAGATGACCTCCTGAGGTCCCTTCCAACCCTGATATTCTATGATTCTGTGACATACTCAAATAACCATTTGTCTCTCCTCTGCTAGTTTCAGTTCATACTTTATCAAGGTGAATAGTGGCTTATATCAGAAAAATTCACAGTTATCAGTAATGGTTCAGTGAGCCAGAAAGGTGGTATCTGCCTCATGGGGAAGCTTCCAAATCACTACTATGGGGTATGCCTGTTGGTGTTATAGTTTTTCCAAAAGACTTAAAAAAACAGTGGAACAAACCATTTACGCATCAGTAACTGTCTGTCCGACTATCCGAATGTCTGAGTATGTTTTCAGATTGTTATGTCTAAGCATTTCTATGGTGCTCACTGTCTTAATATGTGAACACTTGAAAAAAAGAGCGTATTAATCATCCCAGCATCTCTGAAAGGTAGAGAAGTATTATGAGGGGTGCTGAGAGATTTTGGGGAGGCCGAGGCAAAATCTGAAACAGTCCCCCCCCGCCTTTGCAAAAAAAACCCAAACAAACAAACATAGATTCCACGACCAGAAGGGACCATTGTGAGGCATCTACTTTGACCTGCAAAACACTGGTCATAGAACTTTCCCAAAATAATTCCTACAGCATACTTTTAGAGAAACAGCCAATCTTGATTTAAAAATTATCAGTGATGGAGAATCCACCACAACCCTTGGTAAATTGTTCTAGTGGTTACAAATTTACACCTTATTTCCATCAGAATTTGTCTAGCTCCAACTTCCAGCGATAGGATCATGTTAAACCTTTTCTCTCCTAGACTGAAGAGCCCATTATTAAATATTTGTTCTCCATATACATACTTACACTTTAATCAAGTCACTTTTAACCTTCTCTTTGTTAAGCTAAATAGTCACTAATAAGGCATGTTTTTTAATACTTTAATCATTCTTGTGGCTTTTCTCTGAACCCTCTCTAATTTATCAACATCCTTCTTGAATTGTGAGCACCAGAACTGGACACAGTATTCCAGCAGCGGTCACACTAGTGTCAAACATAGAGGCAAAATAATCCTCTCTACTCAAGACTCTCGTGTTTATGCATCCCTGAGTCCTGTTAGCTTTTTTTGACCACTGTGTCACAGTGGGAGCTTGTGTTCAGCTGATTACCCATCCTGACTCCCAAATCTTTTTCAGAGTCACTGCTTCCCAGGAGAGTCCTTCATCCTATAAATATTTCCTACATTTGTTCCTAGATGTATATATTTACATTTAACTATATTAAAATGCATATTGTTTGCCTTCACTTAGTCTACCAAGCAATCCAGATCACTCTGAATCAGTGACCTGTCTTCTTCATTATTCCCCACTCCCCCAGTTTTTATGTCATCTGAAAACTTTATTGGTGGTGATTTCATGCTTTCTTCCAGGTCATTGGTAAAAAGGTTAAATAGCATAGGTTCAAGAACCGATCCTGCGTGACTCCACTGAAACACAACTGCCCAGTGATAAGGCTAAGATTTTGTCATGGTTATTTTTAGTAAAATTCATGGACAGGACACGTGCAATAAACACAAATTCACAAAACCCATGACCTGTCCGTGACTTTACTAAAAATAACCAGGGGTAGGGCTAAATAGGGGGAAGAATGGAGTCCCATGGCGGGGGGGGTGGGGGGGAGGGGCAGAGAACAGGCCAAGACCCCCCCCTGCTCCAGTGGCCACAGCTGCGGGACAGGGGTGCATGGCCCCAGCTGCAGTCCCCCCCAAGCTCCATCCACAGCCATGAGGGGGTACACGGGCCTGGGATGTCGCGGGGCAGAAGTGCACGGCCCCCGCTGCAGCCCCCACCACGGGGCTAGGGCGTGTGACCCCGGCTGCAGCCCACAGCGGAAGCTGCAGTGTTGGGGCATGCAGCACTGGCTGCAGCTGCTGGGCAGGGGCGCGCAGCCCCGGCTGCAGTCCCCGGTGGACGCCGTGGGGCTGGGGTGCAGTGGGGGATGCGCAGCCACAGCTCTGGAGCTGGCCGCAGCCGCAGGGCAGGGGCACACGGCCACCGCTGCAGCCCTCACCATGGGGTTGGGGCACATGGCCCTGGCTGCAGCACCTGGGGGAAGCCATAGGGCTGGGGTGCCTGGCCCCGGCTGCAGCACCTGGCAGAAGCCGTGGGGCTGGGGCGCATGGCTGCAGCACCTAGTGGAAGTCACGGTGCTAGGGCGCAGCAAGGGGCGCAGCCATGAGAGGGCACAGCCCCCACTCCGGAGCTGGCCGCAGCTGCAGGACAGGTCGTATAGCCCGGCTGCAGTCCCCCCACCCTCTGCAAACCACAGGGCAGGGGCTGCAGGGTCCTGATTCCAGCTATCCAAACTCAGTTGCAGCAGGGCAGGGCCGCACAGTCCTGCCTCCAGTCCCCGCTTCAGCTGCTGACAGCTGAAGCGGAAGAAGTCACGGAGGTCTGCTAAAGTCACGGAATCCATGATCTCCGTGACTAAATCATAGCCTTACTCAATGACAGTTACATACTGAGACCTGTCAGTTAGCCAGCTTTTAATCCATTTAATGGGAGCCATATTAATTTTCTAGCTTTCTAGTTTTTTAATCAAAATGTTTTGTGGTACCAAGTCAAATGCCTTAGAGAAGTCTGAGTACATTACATCAAAATTGTTAACTTTATTAACCAAACTTGTAATCTCATCAAAAAAAGATATCAAGTTAGTTTGACAGGATCTTTTTTCCACAAATGCATGCTGATTGGTATTAATTATATTACCCTCTTTTAATTCTTTATTAATCAAGCCCATATTAGCTGCTCCATTCTGATCTTGCCTAAGATTGATGTCAGGCTGACAGGCCTATAATTATCTGGGTCATCCCATTTGCCTTTTTTAACAATTGGCACAACTTTAGCTTTCTTCCAGTCTTCTGGAACTTGCCCAGTGCTCCAAGACTTATTACAAAAAATCAACATTAACCATCCAACAAGCTCGTGAGCCAGCTCTTCTAAAACTCTTGGATGCAAGGTATCTGGACCAGATAATTTAAAAATGTTTAATTTTAGTTTCTATTTAACGTCCTCCAGAGATACCAGTAAAATGGAATAGTGTTATCACCATATGAGGAAACTATATTATCTGCTTTTCTCCCAGATACAGAACAGAAACATTTATTGAATGCTTCTGCCTTATTATTCGTAATTCTACTATTTCCATCTAGTAATGGACCTATATCTTTGTCAAGATTCTTTTTATTTCTAATATATTTTAAAATGTCCTTATTGTCCTTAACTCTTGCTGGCCTTAGATTTCTCTGTGTCCATTTGCTTCCCTTATCAATTTTCTTCAGTTCCTAACTTCAGCTTTATATTCATTATTGTCAACTTCCCCTTTCCTCCATTTGTTTTTTCACTTACTCTCTAAACCTGGTCAATTTTTTGACCAGTAGGCCTTCTTCCTGTATTCTGGGATTGTGGCTTTTTGGGCATCTAGGAAGGTGTTCTAAAATGATTCCCAGTTATCATTCATTTTTCTGATTACATTCTACCTCCCAGTAGTTTTGACTCATAATTGTTTCAGCTCTGTGAAATTAGCCCTATTAAAGCACCAAGTACATATATTACTGGTCTGGACTTTTATAATGTGCAAGCAAAATAATGTGTTCATGTCATGATCACTTGTACCTAAGCTACCATTAATTTTTAGTTCTGTGATCAGTTCCTCTTTATCTGTTAAGACACGGTGTAATGAAGAATTCCCCTGTGTTGACTGCAACACTTTTTGAATTAGGAAATTGTCATCTATAATGTTTAGAAATTTCATAGATGTTTTTAGTACTGAGTACATGTGACCTCCAGCATGTCACTCAAATTGAAGTCCCCTTTGGTCATACAAAATTTTTCACTACACGTCGTTCTACATAGGTGCATAAGGAGACAGTCATCTCTAGTGTGTTCCCTAGTGTGATTTAGTGGTCTGTAGCAGGCACCAACTAATACCCCATCTTGTCCTTTATCTGTTAAGGATATAGATCCGTAAGCATTCAAGTTCATTTTCTTCTGAATTATCAGTTACTCAGAAACGGGCAATGCCATTTTTGACCTAGAATGCCACTCCCTCCCCTTTTTCGCACTCGATCCTTCTAAATAGTTTATAACCATTGATTTTTAACATTCCAATTGTGTGAATCATCCCACCAGGTTTCAGTAATACCCAACTAAATTAAATTTATGCTCATAAATGAGTAATTCTAATTCCTCTTGTTTGTTACCCAGGGTCCTAGCATTGCTGTATGGGCAATTCAAGAATTTCTTCTTTTCATGTCCGTTGGTTCCCTGATTAAGTTTGTACTCAACATCTCGATTTTTGTGCGAAGTGCTCCTACTTTCTCTCTTTTTTTACTCTCCCTTTACTGCTGAGGAGAGGCCCTTCTGTAAGTGTTGGAGAACAAACTTACCTTGAAGCCGTGGCTCCTGTCCTGCTGGTCTGGGCCCAGCTCTCTGCTCCAGGTTTTGCAACCTGGTGCCAGGTTGTAATGCTGCTCGCTCAAATTTGTCCAGCTGCCTCTCCTGAGAGGCACTGCAACCCTGTATGGCAGGCTGCAATGCCACTCAGTTTGAGGAGCGCGGGGGTGAGGCTCAGGGCAAATTGCCCCTTTTCCTCCGCCCGCGGCCCCCCCCCCATCCCCGGCAGTGCTGGTTATTTTGCAAATTAGGAAGCTGAGACACAGTGAGGTTGTGATTTGACAAGTAGACACACAGGAAGCTTATGGAATCACTGGGAATAGCACACAGACATCCTAACTCCCAGTTCTGTGCATGAGCCACAAGACTTTATTCACAAAGGAATACAATAGTTTAGGTCCTGTCCATTTTTAAACCGGTTTAAGGCTTTGCATGCATACTGAAAATAATGGAAAACAACTTACAGATCTGTTTTTAAAAACCTACCTGGTGTTGTCTGTTGTAGCTTAATGCAAGTGCAGACAAAACCTCAGTTGCATGACTCTCATTAAATATCAGTGGGAGTGATGCAGCTACATCTTCGTATGCAGCTTTGAAAATTTATTCTCAAACATTCAGCTATTGCTTCTTTGTGCACCCTCTCACCTCAGCAGCTTGCATGAATGTTGATGCACTGTAGGAGAGGAAAGGAAAAGGGATTTAACTTGCTGTGGTAAGGAGACTACTGCATACATTTCTTTCCTTTCTCCCTCTCCACAAACACATTTTTTTTCTTGCCTTATGACTGAAGGATGACTGATCCAGTAGAATTCAGAGCAAGGCAACTTTTATTTAGGTGCCTAAATAGGGATGTAAGTGCCTAACTTTAGACACCCAAGCTTGAAGATGTAGGCCTATATTCTTACGATTCTATACCAAGGATAAAGTAGAGGTTGTCTGTCTTATATTGTTCCACACTGCTCTCTGTGTACAACTATATAAATCTTCACATTTAAATAATTTAAAATAATTATTAATAAATAATATTAAAATTGTATTTAATTTATGACCGTAGCTTAAATTGACTTAATTTGAGTCATTTGATATCGTATTAGTTCCTAGATGTGACATTAAAAACTATTTAAATAGCTTTTGTTCAATCATGAAGAAAGTGTACCATTGTTTTATTTAATGAAGTTAAAGTGGTGAGATGAGTCAGCAGCCTGTTCTTAAAAAATCTGCAAAAACAAAATACAGTTACTGAGATTTCCAGAAGGCCTATTGTAATTTTGTATTAAAGTTACATTACTGGGTAGATTTTCAAAGGGTTGAAGCGCAACTTCCATTTTGAGGGTACAATTTTTGCCTGCAAAAATGAATTACAAGTGCAAATCTGAGTACTTATGTCTCTTCATACCTGAACACAGATACACGTGAGCTAGCAAGAGGCACAATTACTCAATTTTATAGCTATCGTTGAAATTATGGATGTAAAATGCAGGTATAATATTGGTAGGTGTAGATTGCACCTGAAAAAAAACCTGTCATTTTGGAAAATTTTAAACTTAGCCTTGTGAAATCAATTTTCAGTTGCATATAGCTTCTCATAACATGTACATGGAATCTTATAAATATTTATCTGAGAACAATATATATTTACAAGAGCAGATTTCAGATCTACGTGATATATTCATATGACCTACTGTTTATTTTTGTATAGCTTGTAAGATTTTGGGGGCAGGGGTTTTGAGCCAGGTGACTCCTTAATTGGGAAAAAGTAACTGAGGTTACAGAAGAAGCTGCAGAGATCCAGATCCTTCTCTCCCTCTTTTCCGTAATACTTTCAGCTCTAGCAATAGGTGGAAAGGTTCATTCCTTGAAACCTGCAGCTCTTCTTGGAGATATCTTCAGAGAGGCATTTTCTCTCCTCCCTACCTTCTGGTCTGGAGCCATGTAGTATAGGCAGCCTCCTTCACCTGATATTGTCCTGAAAGTTATACAGTTGGGAAGGACTTCAGATAATGCTGAGTGAGATTTAACTTAGTTCTGTTCAGTTAGTTGAGGAGTGTGGGGCAGAGCTGCAGAGAACATCCACCCTTCTCACATCAGGCTTGCCCCTTTTTATACCCAGATGTGGCCCTCAGGCCAAAAAGTTTGCCCACCCTTGATTTAGATATAACTGGCCCCTGTGTTTCTGCTTTTTGACCATGGTGTTTCTTGAATTCAGGTATTGTTTCCCACAGTGGGAAAGTCCTACTGTCAGTCATTCCTTAACAATATATTACTGCAGGGAACAGTGTGTCTCCAGTGTCAACAGGCAAATGTCCAGTTGCTCTGAAGCTCCCAGTCTCCCAGGGAGCATTTTTTTTTCTCTCCCTTTGTTCCCTGTTTTAAAAAAGTTCATATTTTCTCTCCTTGTCAGTTTCTTTTCACATTCTGCACAATGTCATTGTAGTTTTGCCCTTCTTGCTGGTATCTGTGCAATACTGACTTTTTTTTTTTTTTTTTTTGTAATCAATTGACCATATTTTAAATCTTTTAAAATAGCAACCTTATTTCTAAAGTGCTGGACCTTTGGGTACTTTGGAAAATAGAGATTCCATTTGTTTCCAATGAGAAGGAGAGGTGTTGTGGTGGTGTGATGAATGTGGGAATTCTCAATATTTTTGAGCTATCTATATGACTCTAACTGTCATGTTGGCATTGCTATCCATTGGGGGGAAAGAATTTATTTTCTCCATACGATGTGGGAGACCAGGGTAGGTATTTGAGACATATAGCCACTAGGACTGTCTTGGCTGGAATAACACATTTGAGTGGAAGCCCTACAGAGACCATGGAAACTGCAATGATCAAAATTTAACAGCTGCAGAGGCAGCTGAAGATGTGAACACAGCATGGCTGTGTCCAGAGAACAAAGACAAAAGGTACCAGGTGTCTACGTTAAGAGCTGAACTCTCAGAGATACAGGATAGTCACCTGAAACTAATGGAAATGAAACGAGACAGAGAAGGGAGGCAGAGATGGTTCCTTCAGCAACATGGCTCAAGGGAGCCGTGCCTTGAGCCAATCTGAACTGTCTTAACCTTTGCTTCTCTATGCTAACCTAAGCACTTTTAGATTAGTCACCTGGTATACATAATAAATTGTTACCTTGTTTTTGAAAAGACTGCATGCAAAAATACATACTGAGACCATTGCACCATGAAGGGGTATGGTACAGGCCTCCCGCAGGCATCTGGGTTGACTGGATTTGCTGCAGGGAGCCACAGAGAGACAGGGATGGCTGGTGCCCAAAGGCTCAGTTTTGGACCCATGGACACTGTGGACCTTCCCCCTGTAGAACTATGTGGACCCTTGGGGTTTGACACATTAAAAGGGTCACTCACAAGGGACTGGTTACAGGATGGGGCATGGACTAGACCATATCAATTTGTGATAGGTAATACTAGGCTTCAGCATTAACTAAACATCTGCATTACCTTTTTTTTTTTTTTTTGTATAGTAGCTGATTGTTGTGAGCAAGGCCAAGAGGCATTTATAAGAGTGACTGGCACTGTTTTTACTAAGGTAGTTTGAATGTCTAAACTTTGTGCTCTGTGTAAACTCACACTGACCATAAGTCACCAAACAGCACACGAACAGCCATTGAGCATTTGCATTCTTGTACATGAAATACTTAGCAACTAAATTATATTTGACTTTGTCATTTAGGTTAAAACAGATGACATAGCAAGAATTTATCAGCCCAAACGTTACGCACTATCTCCTAAAACAACCATTACGTTTGCCCACCTTCTTGCTGCTCGAGAAGACTTATCAAAGATCATAAGGACAAGTAGTGGATCTACACGAGAAAAGACAGCCTGCGCTATCAATAAGGTATACTTCTCTTTCTCTTGTGGATTTATAGAGCTATTGAAAGTAATCTGGTATAATAACTGATAATGTATAATTAATGATATCTTTAGCAAGAATTTTGACTTTTGCTTATCCTCTATAATATGGTTTTCCTTCTTTTTTGCAAACTTGTTGTATTTAGTGCACTGGAAAAGGAAGGGCTGCAGCACTCCCATAAATATCACTACAGCTCCATTATCCTAGTTTTTGTTACAAAGTACACTGCACACTCCTTTTGGTAGCATGTAGAGTTACAAACAGTACACCCCTGCCCCTTACGGGTATAAATAGCAGCATAGACGATGAGGCAATGCTTAAGCAAGTAAAGCCTCTCCTGAACCATGTGGTATGAACCCTATAGGGCTTTCAACTCACCGATGCAGTGCTTTCCCTGTCTACACTGCTATTTTTAGCAGTGTAGTGTCCCACTGCCTCCCTGCTGCAGGATCCTTTCCCTGCCGCAGTGAAAGACTCCAGCAGCAAGGAAAGGCTCTGGCAATTCTCCACTGATGAGCTTTTCTGCTCTGCCTCCCCCTTGCCAGAGCCTGTCACTGTTACATGTAGCTACACACTGCAATGTGAACACAGCCTGCTTTTCATTGTGGTGCGTAACTACGCATCCCCTACATGGGTCCTCAAGAGGTGAGTAGTGTGTATATATAGACCTACAGTCACTTCCACACTGAGATAAAACAATTCTAGATAAGAATTGCAGTGGATGGAAAAAGGAGGATTTAGAATCTCATGCCTCCTACAGTGGTATTCCTTTTTTATGCTTCAAATCTGTCAGTCCCTGGGGATGACAAATGCTTGACTCTCTTCTGGAAAATTTGCCAGTTCACTGCCTCCCAGCAGCAACAGATGGTCCACCATCCTGCTTTCTCTGAGCAGGTCACATATGCAACTTGGAGCAAGCCTGAGTATAAGAATGAACTGTCTACTTCAAGATCTCTTCTCTCAGAGGAGAGATTCCGTTCAGGATAAAGCTAGGAAGCAAAGGTGGTTATCCCTGTGGGTATTGAACCTCCATCATATAAATAAAAAAAATCTTTCCTTCAACTTCCAGAAGAGAGCTCGGTATACCTCTAATAATTACAAAAGCATGTAGTTAAATTGGAGTGGGAATTACCAAACAAGATTAAGAGGCTCTCTAATCTGTCTAAAAAATCTTGTGCTGGTACAAAACAAAAAATCAGACTGCCACCCTCCCAATAGTTTTATTCAGCCATTGCTAACCTTAGGGATTACTTGGACAGACATTCAAAGGCAACCTTCTACTGAAAGCCAGCTAAGCCTCTACTACTACTTCAGTTAGTTAGGGTTGGCAGGCTCCCTATCAAAGGAGAACCCACTGAACCTAAGGGAGGAAGGACGGTCTTGTGATTGAGGCACTAGGTCTCAGGAGATCTGGGTTCAATTCCTGGGGATCTTGGGCTAATTACTTAATCTCTCTGTGTCTGGGTTTTCCTTCTGTAAAATTGGGGATATACTTCACATTTTCATTGTAAAGATAACTCCTTTAATATTTATGAATGCTATGATGCTGGGAACCAGAGAAGTACCTAGCCCATACCAGAGGACCATTATTTCTAGATAAGATGGTACTGTCCTCTTTTCTCTCTACCACTTTTGAAAGACCTCCTAAATCAAGGATTGTTAGTGCACCTAGACCCACGGATACTCAACAGTGTAGATGCTAAATAGAAACAACTGTTGGGAGAGGGGAAGCAATTAAGTCTCCTAGCTTTGAGGGGGAAAAAATAAACAGACTTGGAATATGCTAAAATTTTGTTCAATTGTGCTTCATGGTGTAGAGAAGAACATGAAGAATCAAAGCATCAAACAAATTTCTAATTCTGGAATACTGCTGGGATAGTCTGGCGATTGAACTGAAGACATACGCTCTCCAAAAGCATTCATCAGCATATTAGGGGTGAATAGTTCTAAGACGTCTTCCCCTCATAGCAAGTGCTTTTTCACAGCAGTCTCCCTATTTAACTTTCTGGAAATATATAGGGGAGCCCTGTGGAAGCTGAATCTGTTGTTGGACACATTAGTTTTGATTTACTTCTCCATTAAAGTAGCATTACAAGTGGCTATCACTTGAGCAATGGAAGTCTTGAACTGGGAGAATTATCCCAGTACTGTACCTTCAATGCTGTTAAAGAGGTATTCTTCCTGGAGCCTGCTTTAATTCCAAAAGTTCACTCTTTCATAGCGTGGAGATCATTCTTTCCCAATTCTGCACCAAACCAAAACACCCCAAAGAAAGGCAATGATACATGCTAAATGTCTGCAGGGTGCTCAAAACATGTAAGATTACAGTCCTATAGAAAGTCTTGTATCCTATTTGTAATATAACACCCATGAGGTAAAAAAGTATCTATTAGGTAGTTAAAATTTTGCATCAAGAAGACTTGCAAAACTAAAGTTCTGAAATCTTTAGGTAAAAGTAAGGTCAGCAAAGCAGAGCAGTATCCCCTTCATGGGCAGAGAACTCCTTTGCATCATATGAAGAAATCTGCAAGGTAGCAACTTGTCTATCTCTGCATGTGTTCATGAGACTTGACATGTTAGCCATCCAAACTTCAGCAGATTTCTCCTTCAGAAGGGTGTACATTGTGGTATCTCAGTTCTTTTTCTGAATACAGCCTGCAAATAATTAGCATTAAAAGCCTGCTCTTGAAGTTGCACTGCTGTGTTTATAAAAAAAAAAAAAAAAAAGCCCACTGAAAGGATGGTGAGCCTGTATGAAAGTGAGAGTGAAAGGTGGTACCTGATGGTTCTTTGAGTGGCCCATTATATTCCTGCTTATGGGTAATGCACTGACCAGTGCAGCCCAACTGTGGAATCTTCTCCAAACAGTGCTCATGCACCCCAACCATCCCTCCCCTCAATGTTTGCTAATGGGAAGAGCATAAAAGGGGGCTCTGTGCCCTCTATTGCCTCGTTTCTTCAAACCTCAGCACCAGGTGACGTGAACAGTCTGTTCCTGAGGATCCAGGGTTTTCTCATACTGTAGTGTCCTATAGGAATAGTCTATTAATATTAGATTAGTTTTTTGTAGTTTTAATATAGTTAGCTAATGTGTTTTAATTTACAATATGAAACATTGCATCTGGTATTCAACATTTTAGGAGTTCCTTCAAGAAGTAGGATGGACTTTTGCAACCTGTTAAAGCCGTTTGTGTGGCTTTTGCTTCCTGCCAACCTATCTCTAAGAGGGCAGATAAACACACAATGTCTTCCTGATGGCCCTGTGTTTAGCAAGGGAGAGCAATGTGTTCGGCAGATAAATTAAGCAGGGACAGCTCTCAGATGCGTGTGTGGTCGTTAAAGGACCAAGTGTCGTAGGCCGGTTTGCAACCAGGTTCAACAAGAAGTTGTGCCTTCGTGGGTCACAACTGAGAATACCAAATTCAGGACGAGCTGCTGGGGAAAATGGCAGACTCTCCCTCCCCCCCCCCCCCCCCCCCCCCCCCCCACAAAAAAAAGAAACAAAACCTGGTGGTTATTCTTTCATGAGATATACCAAACCAGCAACAAAAGTAACTTCTGTCTCACCTCACTGGCTAACAAGTCAGAAATGCACCCTCCATAGGTATTCCAGTCTTGGATTCAACACCCAGACACTAGACTTAATGATGAGTGGTTATTTAAAACCAACTTCATCAAACAAAAGGTTCTTCTGATCCCAAATGGCCAGCCATACACCCACGTCAATATACAACTCAGATCTTACCCAATAATCATGCTGATGCCAGTCCTTTAGTATCTAAAATCTAAAGGTTTATTTATAAAAAGAATTAAAGGTGAGAGTTAAAATTAAAGGAATCAAATACATACAATAAATGCAAAGTTCTTGGTTCAGGCTTGTAGCAATGATGGAATAAACTGCTGGCTTGTTAAATCTCTGGTTGCTTCCAAATCATTGGAAGGTCCTCAGTCCTTTGGTTAAAATGCTCCCTTTAGTATAAGTTCATAGTCCAGAGGTTTGAGCAAGAAAGAGTTTTATAGAGATGGAGATGTTTCCAGGACCTTTTACAGCATCTGCCAAGTGAAGGGAATTCCATTGTTGTCACTGTGGAAAATTACAGATAACAAGATGGTGTTTGGAGTCACATGGGCAAGTCACATGTCCAGGCATGCTTCGCTTAGTCATAGAATCACAGAATGTCAGGGTTGGAAGGGACCTCAGGAGGTCATCTAGTCCAGCCCCCTGCTCAAAGCAGGACCAATCCCCAACTAAATCATCCCAGCCAGGGCTTTGTCAAGCCTGACCTTAAAAACCTCTAAGGATGGAGATTCCACCACCTCTCTAGGTAACCCATTCCAGTGCTTCACCACCCTCCTAATGAAAAAGTTTCCAAGCTAAACCTCCCCCACTGCAACTTGAGACCGTTACTCCTTGTTCTGTCATCTGGTACCACTGAGAACAGTCTAGATCCATCTTCTTTCGATCTTTCAGGTAGTTGAAAGCAGCTATCAGATCTCCCCCCCATTCTTCTCTTCTGCAGACTAAACAATCCCAGTTTCCTCAGCCTCTCCTCATAAATCATGTGCTCCAGCCCCCTAATAATTTTTGTTGTCCTCTGATGGACTCTTTCCAATTTTTCCACATCCTTCTTGTAGTGTGGGGCCCAAAACTGGACACAGTACTCCAGATGAGGCCTCACTAATGCCAAATAGAGAGGAATGATCATGTCCCTCGATCTGCTGGCAATGCCCCTACTTATACAGCCCAAAATGCCATTAGCCTTCTTGGCAACAAGGGCACACTGTTGACTCATATCCAGCTTCTCGTCCACTGTAACCCCTAGGTCCTTTTCTGCAGAACTGCTGCCTAGCCGCTCGGTCCCTAGTCTGTAGCAGTGCATGGGATTCTTCCATCCTAAGTGCAGGATTCTGCATTTGTCCTTGTTGAACCTCATCAGATTTTTTTTGAGCCCAATCCTCTAATTTCTCTAGGTCCCTCTGCATCC